CTGTTACCTAGCAGTAAAATAGGTACCTGGGTGTTAGTCAGCTGTCACGGGCTGCTTCCTGGGGGTGGAGGCCTGGTCGAGGACCGGGCCGCGGGGACACTAAAAAGCCCCGAAATTATCTCAAGATAACAAGGACATTAGTGTTTATATTTTACAGGTCGGCGTTCGATCCCCCGAAGGTGCGAGTTGGTGGCATAGTTCCTTTCCTCCGTACGCCTCTCCCAGCTCTCTGTTCTCATATCCATTCCATGTGCTATATTGTCCTGCTGGTGTAGTTCTTCTCGTAATAACCTCCACTTACCTCGGGTCTCTATTGTCCAGGAGGAAATTGAGTTCCTTCACTGGACCTGAGGTCAGTAAGTAATATGGTCCTGTATACACTTCTCCTCAACATGAATGTGGAGAAGTGTTGCTTCCTTACCTCGCAACACCTCTACTCTTCATCCACTTTCCCTTCAACCCTTTAATTATGTTCATCCCTTTAATAATGTCTAAATACAAAATGCCATGTTAACTCTCCAGACCTCCCCCCCTCCCTCCTCTCCTCTTCCATCTCCCAGATCTCCCCCGCCCTCCTCCTCTTCCATCTCCCAGACCTCCCCCCCCCTCCTCTTCCATCTCCCAGACCTCCCCCCCCTCCTCCTCTTCCATCTCCCAGACCTCCCCCCCCCTCCTCTTCCATCTCCCAGACCTCCCCCCCCTCCTCCTCTTCCATCTCCCAGACCTCTTCCACCCCCCCCCTCCTCTTCCATCTCCCCACGACTACCTTCACCACCTTCCATCCTAACATTTAATATAATAGACGACTCAGTGATGATTTTTTTTAAATTAACAAGCTTGGAAATTTGTGTAATTTGCCATTTCCTGAAAAAAGGGTACATGGGGGGGTCGACCACCCCCATGTACTGGCCGCAACTTTAGACCAGTTACCCTTCACAATTTCGTGAGGCTAGCCCCAGGCGTCTGGCCGCCTCTGAACAGTCTCTCTTATAGGTATAGATTTACTTCTAGGTGAACAGATATGTCAGGTTAAAGGAAACGTGCGCAACCGTCTCTGTCCTGCCCGGGGACTGAACCCAGGTCCCTTGGTTGTGAGCCAATGACATAGACCATTGTGTTAAAGTTGCACAATGTTGCATTTTCACAAACGTTCTTCCTTCACCTTGTGTTGTAAACACTAAATCATCGCTTCCACGACGACTAAGCTAATCTTATCTAGGCTTAATATAAGCTAGGCCTATGCATAAGCCATAATAATAATATTAATAAGTCAAATACTGACATTAAAATCTATGTAAATCTGCATTTGACTTTTAGTTCTGATTGGAGCACGAGTAGACTATTGTGAGCCGGGGTTCAGGAGCCGGAGCCCCGCACTCCTCTCACACTCCTCCACTCATGTAGAGGAGCCATAACAAGTCTTCAGGCTTCACCAGGTCTCAACTTGTCTAGCCAAGCGTGAATTTCAGGCTACACGAAGTCTGAACTTCAGACTTTGCAACATAATGTAATAAAATAACTGTAATCAAATCAAATCAAATAATCAATTGTGCAATTGATATTCTAATTTTGTGTGGTAAAATTATTTTTAATGTACCGTAATTGTATGTAAATTAACAATTATAAAAGTACAGTCACTTACGAATGAAGACTCTGAATCTAAACTTTACTATGTTCGAAGCTACGACTCAAAGTGTATTCTAAACATACCAGAAATTAATGACACCAAACCTAACCCCAACTAGACCTAGTTATGCATAAACCAACCGTATTTAATATTACCATTAATGAAGGTAAAGGAACGACCCCAATGCATGCTTAAGTGTATTCATCAGAACATTTGGTATCAATACACTTACACAGGTACTATGGCTTTCCGTCACCTTCACTGAAGCACTGCGGCAGTGTTGGAAGTCTCTCCATTATCATTCAGCTCATCAGTAGGAAAATCACTGTTTTCCTCTTAAATGTGGAGAGGGTCTTCAGCGCCACGTAGACAACTCACAGTATGTTGACCAGACCACACACTAGAAATTGAAGGGACGACGACGTTTCGGTCCGTCCTGGACCATTCTCAAGTCGACTTGAGAATGGTCCAGGACGGACCGAAACGTCGTCGTCCCTTCACCTTCTAGTGTGTGGTCTGGTCAACATACTTCAGCCACGTTATTGTGACTCATCGCCTGCATAACTCACAACTTACACAGAGGCAGAGAGGACAAGACCATAGCGGTCATGGTTTTAATATTCAACTGTTTATCAAAAAGGTTATTATTCAAATTGGGATTGGCTCAATCATAAAGTTTTTTAGCTTTATATTTGGGCCAATCACCAAATTTGGATTTAAATTTTGGGTCCGATAACTAAATTTGAATTTACATTCTGGTCCAATCACAGTTATGAATAAGAATTTAACTTATCGTCAAGTTTGCAGCTTAGTTAAAGTTACCAGATTAGCCTGGCTATGAAGGCCATGGGAGCTACGAAGATTAACAGTCTCATAGTAGAAAATAATAATAAGAAAAAAGTCTCATAGACCAGACAATCACCAGGGAAGGCTGGCCTCAGGCCACACTGCAAAAAGGAGAAGAACTATCAACATTTTCCAAAGGTAAATCATGAGTAATACATTCCAGCAAACACAAAGTTTATTTACATTGTCACCAGGTTGTAACAAAGTAATAATGTTGTGATTAGGTTGCTACAACGTTGTATGTTTGCTTCCAAATGATCATTCAGCATCAACTCGATCCAATTTAGAGGCTTAGCTCGTTAAGTTTGGCACCCACAGTTCCTCAAGAGGTTAAAACACTCACTCTGGGCTTCAGGATAACAATAAATTGTGTTAAAACTACGTGCTGAATAAATTTGTTTACTAAGGCTCTTATACGCGTCAAATTTTTAACATATTTTTCAAGAAATTCACGAATTAAAAAAACAAAAAGGTATGAGAAGAGAATTTTTATATACCATAAAGAAATCTTGAGTATTACTCATAATATACAAATACATTTATCAACCAAAATACCTTTGTATAAATAATACACCAGTGGTGATAACGTCTTGGTCCACCTCCGGAACCTTGTTAATAAACTGAGACACTCACTAAGACGTCCAGGCGGAAAGAACGAGCAAATTGAAAAAAAATCTAAGTAATTTAAAACAGAATAAAACAATAATGGCTTACACTAAAGATACCGAGCTAATATATATTGTAATACCTAATGTATATCACATTACTGTATCTATATTTATTAATTGTTGATGTAAAATATAATTGTTTAAGGCTCTGATATGACCCTGCAGGTTAGTGACGTCATGCTAGACAAGCATTTCAAATTAATAAACAAATCAATCCCGATAAATAAATACTTCATATGACAATCTTCTAATGATTATATTTTCTAAAAGCAATATAATATTAATAAAAACTAGTAATAATTCCCACTACTTAAAAAAAAAATCCTGTAATATCAACACACAGACACCTGAAGACAATCATTCAAATGATTAGCAACTCATTTAAGATAGTTCAATATTCTACTTTGGAAAATTATTATAAACAAAATTAATACCATGTTAAGTGGCCCTAGTTTCATTGATACACACCACGACTCGCCCATGTTGAGCACATACCCGACAGTAATTACTGTTTAAAGTTAGGTGAGGCTAGCCCAAAGCATATATGTCTTCATACTCGGACACACTAACAGACAGACATACATGCAGACATCAAGTAAAGCTACACGTTAGAAACTTCACACCTTAGGTTCTCAGAACCTGATTTATAATTTATCGGAAATTCTCCATTTTCTCGCTAAGTCTATCTAAGTTCATCAACTTCATTCTTTGAAAACTTGAGTTTTAATTACGTTTAGTAAAGTTATGACGCTACTTACATCAGTATTATAGTGTTAATATATACTGAACTGTAAAGTTATGACGCTACTTACATCAGTATTATAGTGTTAATATATACTGAACTGTAAAGTTATGACGCTACTTACATCAGTATTATAGTGTTAATATATACTGAACTGTAAAGTTATGACGCTACTTACATCAGTATTATAGTGTTAATATATACTGAACTGTAAAGTTATGACGCTACTTACATCAGTATTATAGTGTTAATATATACTGAACTGGAAAATTCTGAAATAAAATTTATTTTACAGAAGAAACCGAGAGACAATATCATGGAACGTTTTCACTAACATTTAATTTAGCACGAAAGTGAAATGTATGAAAATAATGATAATATAGTATACACAATCTAACATGCGTCACAAAGCTTTAAAATAGACATTAAAAAACAAATATCTGAATATAATCTTATATCAATGAAATGCTTGACAAAGACGGTACTACGGGAGAGAGAGAGAGAGAGAGAGAGAGAGAGAGAGAGAGAGAGAGAGAGAGAGAGAGAGAGGAGAGAGAGAGAGAGAGAGAGAGAGAGAGAGAGAGAGAGAGAGAGAGAGAGACAGAGAGAGAGACAGAGAGAGAGAGAGAGAGAAAAGAAGAGAGAGAAGAAGAGAAGCGAGAGAGGATGACGGAGAGACAGGGGACAAATTATGTAACAAACGTCCAGTTGGAGTTTGTCGAAATTTTCCCGACAGGCGGTCACGAACCCGGGCCTCGTTCACAACAGTTATGACCAGCGGGGCGACAACTGTAATGGCCAGCGGGGAGACAACAGGGGCTGGGGAGACAACGGGCAGGGGAGACAACAGGGGCTGGGGAGACAACAGGGGCTGGGGAGACAACAGGGGCTGGGGAGACAACAGGGGCTGGGGAGACAACAGGGGCTGGGGAGACAACAGGGGCTGGGGAGACAACAGGGGCTGGGGAGGCAACAGGGGCTGGGGAGACAACAGGGGCTGGGGAGACAACAGGGGCTGGGGAGACGACAGGGCTGGGGAGACGACAGGGACTGGGGAGACGACAGGGGCTGGGGAGACAACAGGGGCTGGTGAGACAACAGGGGCTGGGGAGACAACAGGGGGCTGGGGAGACAACAGGGGCTGGTGAGACAACAGGAGCTGGGGAGACAACAGGGGCTGAGAAGACAACAGGGGCTGGGGAGACAACAAGGGCTGGGGAGACAACAGGGGCTGGGGAGACAACAGGGGCTGGGGAGTCAACAGGGGCTGGGGCGACAACAGGAGCTGGGGAGACAACAGGGGCTAGGGAGACAACAGAGGCTGGGGAGACAACAGGGACTGGGGAGACAACAGGGGCTGGGGAGACAACAGGGGCTGGGGAGACAACAGGGGCTGGGGACAACAGGGGCTGGGGAGGCAACAGGGGCTGGGGAGACAACAGGGGCTGGGGAGACAACAGGGCTGGGGAGACGACAGGGGCTGGGGAGACGACAAGGGCTGGGGAGAAAACAGGGGCTGGGGAGACAACAGGGGCTGGTGAGACAACAGGGGCTGGGGAGACAACAGGGGCTGGGGAGACAACAGGGGCTGGTGAGACAACAGGGGCTGGGGAGACAACAGGGGCTGGGGAGACAACAGGGGCTGGTGAGACAACAGGGGCTGGTGAGACAACAGGGGCTGGGGAGACAACAGGGGCTGGTGAGACAACAGGGGCTGGGGAGTCAACAGGGGCTGGGGCGACAACAGGAGCTGGGGAGACAACAGGGGCTGGAGAGACAACAGGGGCTGGGGAGACAACAGGGGCTGGGGAGACAACAGGGGCTGGGGAGACAACAGGAGGCTGGGGAGACAACAGGGGGCGGGGAGACAACAGGGGCTGGGGAGACAACAGGGGCTGGGGAGACAACAGGGGCTGGGGAGACAACAGGGGCTGGGGAGACAACAGGGACTAGGGAGACAACAGGGGCTGGGGAGAGTCCCTCAGCTAAATACGAACACCACAATTTTGTTAGCCATTAAAAAGCCATTAGCCATTTTGTTAGCCACATCACCACAGTGTGATGGTCACATCACAATAGTTGATACCTGGTTGATGGGGTTCTGGGAGTTCTTCTACTCCCCAAGCCCGGCCCGAGGCCAGGCAAGACTTGTGAGAGTTTGGTCCACCAGGCTGTTGCTTGGAGCGGCCCGCAGGCCCACATACCCACCACAGCCCGGTTGGTCCGGCACTCCTTGAAGGAAACAATCTAGTTTCCTCTTGAAGATGTTCACGGTTGTTCCGGCAATATTTCTTATGCTCGCTGGGAGGGTGTTGAACAACCGTGGACCTCTGATGTTTATACAGTGTTCTCTGATTGTGCCCACGGCACCGTTGCTCTTCACTGGTTCTATTCTGCATTTTCTTCCATATTGTTCACTCCAGTATGTTGTTATTTTACTGTGTAGATTTGGTACTTGGCCCTCCAGTATCTTCCACGTGTATATTATTTGATATCTCTCTCGTCTTCTTTCTAGTGAGTACATTTGGAGAGCTTTGAGACGATCTCAATAATTTAGGTGCTTTATCGCGTCTATGCGTGCCGTATATGTTCTCTGTATTCCCTCTATTCAGCAATCTCTCCAGCTCTGAAGGGGGAAGTGAGTACTGAGCAGTACTCAAGACGGGACAACACAAGTGACTTGAAGAGTACAACCATTGTGACGGGATCCCTGGATTCGAAAGTTCTCGTAATCCATCCTATCATTTTTCTGGCTGACGCAATATTTGCTTGGTTATGCTCCCTGAACGTTAGGTCGTCAGACATCATTATTCCCAAATCCTTTACATGCCGTTTTCCTACTATGGGCACATTTGATTGTGTTTTTTACCCTGTATTATGTTTAAGGTCCTCATTTTTACCGTACCAGAGTACCTGGAATTTATCACTGTTAAGTATCATGTTATTTTCTGATGCCAAGTCGAAAACTTTATTAATATCAGCTTGAAGTTTTTCAATGTCTTCAGCCGAGGTAATTTTCATACTGATTTTTGTGTCATCTGCAAAGGATGATACGAAACTGTGACTTTTATTTTTGTCTATATCTGATATGAGAATAAGGAAAAGCAGCGGTGCAAGGACTGTACCCTGCGGGACAGAGCTTTTAACCGCACTTGGATTAGATTTTATATGATTGACCGTTACTCACTGAGCCCTATTTGACAGAAAACTGAATATCCAGCGTCCTACTTTACCGGTTATTCCCATTGACTTCATTTTATGTGCTATCACGCCATGGTCACATTTATCGAAAGCCTTTGTGAAGTCCGTGTATATCACATCAGCATTCTGTTTTTCTTCTAATGAATCAGTGACTTTGTCGTAGTGATCAAGTAGCTGTGAGATGCACGATCTTCCCGCTCGAAATCACCCACCTCAGAAATCACCTGCCTCACTCACCACAGTGTGGTGGGTGAGGCAGCCACACCACAACAGTGTGGTGGATGAGGCAGCCACACCACAACAGTGTGGTGGATGAGGCAGCCACACCACAACAGTGTGGCGGGTGAGGCAGCCACACCACAACAGTGTGGTGGATGAGGCAGCCACACCACAACAGTGTGGTGGGTGAGGCAGCCACACCACAACAGTGTGGTGGGTGAGGCAGCCACACCACAACAGTGTGAGGCAGCCACACCACAACAGTGTGGTGGGTGAGGCAGCCACACCACAACAGTGTGGTGAGGCAGCCACACCACAACAGTGTGGCGGTGAGGCAGCCACACCACAACAGTGTGGCGGGTGAGGCAGCCACACCACAACACACCACAACAGTGTGGCGGGTGAGGCATGTGGTGGGTGAGGCAGCCACACCACAACACCACAACAGTGGCGGGTGGCAGGGTGTGGTGGATGAGCAGCCACACCACAACAGTGTGGCGGGTGAGGCAGCCACACCACAACAGTGTGGCGGGTGAGGCAGCCACACCACAACAGTGTGGTGGGTGAGGCAGCCACACCACAACAGTGTGGTGGGTGGGGCAGCCACACCACAACAGTGTGGCGGGTGAGGCAGCCACACCAAATCGGCAACTCCCCAGGTCTCGTTACTGGGACATGAAGGACATTACAGTTAACGAAATGAACCCTAAGGTGAGTAGCTGGTCCAAGTCTCTAGTGGCTCTTGTCTGAGATGTGAAGCTGGCTTAAGTGCTCCTACAGGGGAGCACAGGGGGGGAGGAGAGAGAGAGAGAGAGAGAGAGAGAGAGAGAGAGAGAGAGAGAGAGAGAGAGAGAGAGAGAGAGAGAGAGAGAGAGAGAGAGAGAGAGAGAGAGAGAGAGACAGACAGACAGAGACAGAGAGAGAGGGCGAGAGAGAGAGAGAGAGAGAGACAGACAGACAGAGACAGAGAGAGAGGGCGAGAGAGAGAGAGAGAGAGAGAGAGAGAGAGAGAGAGAGAGAGAGAGAGAGAGAGAGAGAGAGAGAGAGAGAGAGAGAGATATTAACAGACAGACATATATAGACAAAGTACTTGGAAATTAGAGGCAAAAATAAAATGGAATAACAGCACAGATAAGCTGCATAAGCCTGTGTGTGAGTCCCCAGGTCCATCTCACAGGAACGAAAGTATTGTAAAAACACTTCTCAGGGATAAGATCATTAGACAGAGCCACCCCCCCCCCCCTCCACCACTCCCTAGATATTTGTTATCCAGATATTTGTGATGGTTAGAAAGCTTATTCACGGATCCAGTAATAGTCTACTTGTGAATTGGCAAGTAACCCTTTCTCCTAAACTGAGAGTATTTTTCAAGTTACACCTTTATTGTATCATAAATCATTGTTTTAAAATATAAAACGTCTCTGGATGTAAATTATTCAGACTTGTTTTCTTTGAAACAGTTTGAAAAATTGAGTATTCTATTAATGGGGATATTCGATTAGAGGGAATATCCAAATAGTATTTTAATTTCACATTTAATGTTTGAGAATAATACCCCGTATTAACATAACCAAAGGCAAAGAAGCCTAACCTGACCTAATGTAACCATAACGTAACCTAAGGGGCCTGACAGCTGAGTAGACAGCGCTTCGGATTCGTAGTCCCGAGCTTCCGGATACGATCCCCGGTGGAGGCAGAAACAAAATGGGCAGAGTTTCTTTCACCCTGATGCACCTGTTCACCTAGCAGTAAATAGGTACCTGGGAATTAGACAGGTGCTACGGGCTGCTTCCTGGGGGATGTGTAACAAAAAGAAGGCCTGATCGAGGACCGAGCCGCGGGAACACTAAGCCCCGAAACCATCTCAAGATAACCCCAAGATAACCTAACCTTACCTAACAAGACCATGGATATGAAGCCGTTAATAGCATTAATTATATAATGGTTTTGAAGTGATTACCTCCAAATCACGGGTTCGATTCCCGCACGAGGCAGAAACAAATGGGCAAAGTTTCTTTCATCCTGAATGCCCCCTGTTACCTAGCAGTAAATAGGTACCTGGGAGTTAGTCAGCTGTCACGGGCTGCTTCCTGGGGGTGGAGGCCTGGTCGAGGACCGGGCCGCGGGGACACTAAAGCCCCGAAATCATCTCAAGATAACCTCAAGATAACCTCCAGGGTACCCCCTCCCCCCTGAGGACAGCTGGCTCCAGTCACCTGTGGTTGAGTACTTAATATCTGTCTATGTATTATAGCAGCTGTCTAACACTGTCTATGTATTATAGCAGCTGTCTAACACTGTCTATGTATTATAGCAGCTGTCTAACACTGTCTATGTATTATAGCAGCTGTCTAACACTGTCTATGTATTATAGCAGCTGTCTAACACTGTCTATGTATTATAGCAGCTGTCTAACACTGTATGTATTATAGCAGCTGTCTAACACTGTCTATGTATTATAGCAGCTGTCTAACACTGTCATGTATTATAGCAGCTGTCTAACACTGTCATGTATTATAGCAGCTGTCTAACACTGTCATGTATTATAGCAGCTGTCTAACACTGTCATGTATTATAGCAGCTGTCTAACACTGTCATGTATTATAGCAGCTCTCCAATACTGTCATGTATTATAGCAGCTCTCCAACACTGTCATGTATTATAGCAGCTCTCCAATACTGTCATGTATTATAGCAGCTCTCCAACACTGTCATGTATTATAGCAGCTCTCCAACACTGTCATGTATTATAGCAGCTCTCCAACACTGTCATGTATTATAGCAGCTCTCCAACACTGTCTATGTATTATAGCAGCTCTCCAACACTGTCTATGTATTATAGCAGCTCTCCAACACTGTCATGTATTATAGCAGCTCTCCAACACTGTCATGTATTATAGCAGCTCTCCAACACTGTCATGTATTATAGCAGCTCTCCAACACTGTCATGTATTATAGCAGCTCTCCAACACTGTCATGTATTATAGCAGCTCTCCAACACTGTCTATGTATTATAGCAGCTCTCCAACACTGTCATGTATTATAGCAGCTCTCTCTTACGCTAAAAGAAAACTTTCTAACATCTCTATGACTCATTTAATCTACTAGCCTCCCTCCTTGTCTCCAAGTTCTGTTGGTACTTAATGTGAACATTTCGTCTATTTCCACTCTGTCAATCGTCCTAAGTATTTTATGTTTTTATCATATCACATTACTGCTTCTCTTTTTCTAGCGTCGTCAG